TAGGGCACTTCACTAGAGAGTAGGGGTTATGTGAAAGTCAACACAGTGAGATGCCCAGCCCTGTGCCCTTATTTGGGCTCAATGCCTCCAGACAGGAGAATGGGAGAACCTTCCCTGGAGCCATGGATGGGCTCAAGAGCAAAAGACCTCCCTATACTGGTAGCTGGGTTTCCCCCAATAGAGCAGTTGGGTCCCCGCCTGATCAGTGCAATACAAAGTGGACTGTAAAGCAAGATGGGTCACTATGATGAACAGAGGTATTTCATAATGATAAAAGGGTCCGTTCCAAGCACCAAAATCAGAGCTTCAGAATATGTAAAGGAAAAAGAAGAAAAAAAAAACTGGTCAAACTAAAAGGAGAAATAATCAAATCTCCCATCTGAATTCTTTCTATACTTAGAAACATACAAATAGAAATGGAAAAATTTTGAAAGATACTATTTACATTATCCTAAAACATCAAGGACCTTGGACTAAATCCAAAGAAAGATGTGAAGGAAGGACAGAGCACTACAAAACATCACCAAAACCAAGTACAACCCTTAATAGGGGGGAGGGGACACGTTGTGGTTGTGGGTTAGAATACTCAGTAGGTAAAAGAATTCGAAGAAGCGTTTTGTGGGAACAGAATTAAGAGTGAGGAAGGAAGGAGCAGAGCAAGAAGGAGAGCAGCTTTTTAAGACTGTGTGCATATGAATATGTTAAAATAGGGGAGACGGGCTTTGTGACATTTGCTTTTACTGCGTATGTGGCATTTTTCTTCTGGATCGTTGGTTCTTAGTGGATATTAGCGGTGTTTCCATGGTACTTCATGTTTAGTCCTGTCACAGAACTTAGAATGTGTAACTCTCGTCTGTTTCCAGTAGTGTTGGCCCCACAGGACTAAAACTCTATGAAGCAGGCGCTGTGTCTTGCTCAAGGTCGATACGTATCCCTCATATTTATCAGTGCCTGGCACATCGCTGAGACCTAGCCCATGCTCGCTATTAGAGTGAATTCAAATGAATGAAGTGTGCTTGGTAGCTGAATACTGGCCCCCAGAGATACCCAGGCCCTAATCCCCGGAACCTGTTTACGTTACCTTATATGACAAAAGCAGCTTTCCAGATGTGATAAAGTGAAGGATTTTGAGACAGGGAGTCCATGCTGGATTCTCTGGGTGGAACCTGAACGCCATCCCAAGTGTCCAAGTAAGACGTAGGGAGGAGGAGATCTGACAGAGAAGAATGCATTGTGGCCACTGAAGCAGGATCTGGGGCTGGATTTGAAGATAGAAGAAGCGGCCCTGTGAGCCAAGGAATTCAAGGAATACAGCTCTAGAAGCTGAAAGAGGCAAGGAAACAGATTCTTCCCTAGAGCTTCCTGAGGGAATGCAACCCAGACACCATCTTGACTGTGGCCCACTGAAGCGGATTTTGGACTTCTGACCTCCAGAGCTGTGAGACCATAAATGAGTGTTGTTTCGAGTCCCCAAGCTTGTGGCAATTTATAGCAGTACTAGGACACTAACACACGTGAATTCTAACAGATGCATTGGTTCTCAGTTTTGTAAATATTTCAAGAAACCATATCGCCCCTCCCATGGGGGCAGAACCTGCTACATTTCTGGTCCCAAGATCTTTCACACTGCCTTCTCTGCACACCAGCATAAAATGAGCTGCCTCCTTGTTTTTATTTTGATGGTCCTGGCTGAGGTTCAGTAAGACCATTACTTTTGAGCAGCACCAGGGGAGCCTACTTGAGTTCCTTAATTCAAGTACAGTTCCATTAAGCACTTATAATTTATTAGGCCCTATCAAATCAGGCCTTGAGGATATAAAAGTTGAAGGACTCAGCCTCATCTGGAGGTGAGGCGAAGAGTTTCTGTGGAAGCGATGTTTGAGTTGAGTCTTAAAGGTTGCATTAGAACATCAAGCACAGAAAAGCAAAGGATGCACCAGGCCGAGGGGGCAAATGCATGAGTTAGGGGAGTTATGGGAGAGGGGAGTCTGTAGAGAGTTTGGGGTGATGTCACTGAGGAACTTCCAGGAGAAGATGGGCGGGTGGATGGAAGGACAGACAGACAAGACGAACGCTCAAACAGACAGAAAGACAGAGACAGAGTCAGAATGGACAGCCATGGGCTGATGGTGGAGCCTTGGGACACATCCAGGTTACAGGGAGAGGCCAGAGGGGCAGCCCCAAAGCAGATCCCGAAGGAGAGCCCTGGAGGTGGCTCACTCAGAAAGGACCCTCCCGGAAGCCAACGGTGCCCCACGCGGCAGACAGGCCTGCCAACCCAGAGCCAGAGTATGGGGTGGAGGTCGTATGAGAAAATGCCGGGAGAGAGCCAGTACTGGAGGAGCAGGTATTCTTCTCACTGAGGGGCAGCAGGGGTGGAGGGTTGGTCCACGGGACTGGGGGAGCACTCGTGACTCCTGTTTTGCCAGAGACCCATCCGCTTGCCAGGCCTACTGGCTCTTCTTCTCATTGACCTTTTCCTCCCTAGTTTTTAAAAATGAAGGTATACTTTACCTACAGTGAAGTTCACCCACCCAGAAAATTCCCGTGTGTTCCCCTGTGACCAGCCCCTTCCCTTGGTACCAGCCCCTGGCCGCCCCTGGTCTGTTGTGCCTGAAGCACCTGCTGATATGGGAGCAGCGCACACTGTAGGATTTTTAGTTGTCAGGTGTTAGAATTAGTGATTCTGCCCGTAATCTGGACTCAATTTCACCACAAGAAAGAGTTTTGTTGGCTTGGTCCCTCTTTTTCTCCCTAAAATACTTTGAAGCTCACTGGATTCATGTCAGTAGCGTCCGTCAAATGCCTAATAATCAGTGTGAGCATTTTTGCAGGTAACTTGTCGAAATGGGTTCTAAAAAGGAAGCTTTTGCCTGATGATGACTGGTTGTACTTGAGTCACTTGCTGAATATTTTTCTTAACGTAACTGCCTTAGGAGAAAAGAGAGAAAGAGAAAGGTTCTTGTCAGGACAGACTGCAACTAAGAAAATTCTAAACTGACTTAAGTTTAAAGATGCATTTTCCACAGGATCTAGTGTAATGCCGTGGGTCTAATAGTCACCAATGCCAACTTTAATAAAATGATAATGTACCTGGTAGTCTGAAGTAGACAATTAACTTTTAATCTCTACTTTCATTGAATATTTTTTAAACTGTTGATTAAAATCCAAATAAGTGCTTCTGGGTCAGCTCTCCTCAACCCCCTACATTTTTTACAATGTGTGTTTGGTTTCACTGGAGTGGTTTTTGTCTGTTAACAGTTACCCTGGCTGTGAATTAGCATGTAATTTACCCAGGGGATGAGTTACCCATCAAAAACAAAGGCTTCTTTCCTATTGTGAAAGCCCAGGACTATAGTAACTCAATCACTCACCCACCAGCCCCTGAAATAGTGCACGTATGCTACTTGTAGCCTGGACTCTAAAGAGAAATAATGACAGTGTTAACCTCATTTGGTCGTAGGAGGTAAAGAAGTAAATGTGAAAGTAAAGTAGAAAAGAAGCAAATGCCTTTTCAAGCTCTAGCCAATAGTCATCACTGGCTTTGGGTAATGTTTGCCCTGGCTGATGGCAGGAGCTGTTCTCACCCTGATTTCTTCTTTCTGAATCACATTTCTTATTCCTTCCAAAATTAATGTGGCAGAAAATGTTAGCAGAGCCAAAAGACTTCAGAATACCTGCAGTTTTCTTCAAGCTTATAAATATCTGATTCATTTTATTTCTTTTTAACTAAAAATGAAGAGTGAGGGAAGATGGGCCCAAACCTTTAATGTGACAGTCAAAAGGGATGAGTCTGGTTCTGCATAGAGGATGAAAAAAAATTACTTTTATGAGTGTACACCTTGGGGACCTGACCTGGTAACAGTGCATTAAGAATTAAATGAACACCACCTGGGGGTTTGCATTTCCCACCTGCTCCGCATGGATTGTTGATATGATGGGGCTGCTAAAAATAGGTAAGCTGCATGACTAAACATTCAGGTAATTGATCCCCCTATTTCGTGTGGGTTCACACCACATCTGAGTGTTAAGTTTGCATCCTTTCAGAAGACGACAGTTAAAAAGTTTGGTTGCAGTAGAGCGTTTTGACTTCTTTCAGCAGACAGAGGAACTTTTGGTCCCACGATCCAGAAGCGATTGCTCACAAAGTAGTGAGCCTCCTGCTGTTGGCAGAGTTCAGGCTCGTATATTAGCTTCACGAATGGGAATTTGTCCTGGATTGTGACCCTGCCGCGAAACGGTGCCTGGCATGTATTGTTGAATGTGTGATGAGACTCAAGACCACCCCTCGGAGCAGTGTGCTCAGGGATTTCTGCACTAGATAGACGAGAGGACCTCCGAAATCTGTTCCTGCAGTGAGACCATATGGATTAGAACTCTGCAGGGCCAGTGATTTTATGTGAAAGTCGCGATTAGCTGAGAACAGAGTAAACCAAGTTATAGAATCAGTAGATATAGTTTGACCTCAGCAACTAATGACCTTTTATGTCTTTTCCATCTGTTGTAAAATTTCACATTTGATGGCCAGGTACTTTAGTGACATCGTAATGAAGGAGTGAGCTTTGCCACCGGACTGGGTGCCAAGATTACCTGGCTAGTCCAAGTGCCCACATTCGGTCAGAGAAGGTGACCTTCCCATCTGGAGGGGAGCCATTTGGTAATGGTCTTTGAGGACCTAGATTCTTCTTTGGACACTTTCTGGGCATGGCGGCACACTCTTTCCGGGGACGCTCTTCCATGGTGGCAGAGGGCAGGCAGGGGTGGGAAGGCTTTTGGCGCTCATGAGCTAGGCCCGAGCAGAATGAGGAGAGGAAGTAACAGAAGATGAAATGTACGAGGACATCAGATTTGGAAACAAAACCCTTTGATAAAACACAGTTGGGGAATTGTGTACCCAGACCCATGCAGTATTTTTTTCAGAGATTGGACACACACGCCGATGGATACCTGTCCGGTCCTTTGTTCCTTTCTTTTGATGCCACCCCTGTCTCTTGTTACAGAGCACCAGAACTACTTTGGAATCGATGAAAACCTTGGCCCGGTGGCTGTCAGCATCCGGAGGGAGAAGGTGGAAGACGCCAAGGAGAAAGAGGGGTCCCAGTTCAATTACCGAGTGGCCTTCAGGACGAGTGAGGTAATGGCTGTCTTGTGTCCTTGCTGTCCTGGGCTGAAACCTCTGACATGGCTGCGCTAGATTGTTTCAGATGAGGTATAATGTTAGTGATTATAGTTAAGATCACTGAAAGAGCCTACAGTATTTTATTCCCAATAAAAATTTGAAACCTTGTCACATATTAAGGGGCGATGATTTTACTTTCCTGTTGCATGATAGAAAGGAGAAAAAGGTAAGAGCGCAAAGTTTGGGGGCTCAGAGAGGACATGTATGAACTGGACCATTCATGTCAGAATGGACAAACAGCTTTGAAATCTAGTGCAGGAAATCAGGTGGTCCACGATGGGGGAGTGTGGCGGGCTGTCTGTGCACACTGCATTATTCCGAGGCCCCAGCTTTAGTGCCTTGCTTGCCTTGCTTTGAGTAAAAAGTGAGATTGTTGTACGAACGGAACAATATGTATACATAGCCGAATAGGTAGGGATGCCGATTCCAAAGAAGGAGATCTGGCCTGCATTTCAGGTTTTATTCTCTTGACCTATTATAATTAGAGAGGGGGTGTATTCGGCAAGTATTCCAGCATGCATATTTTGGTTGGCTCCTTCCAGATCAGAGAGAGGAAAGGGAGCTCTTTGGTGGTCACCTGTGTATGCATGAACCTGTGTTCTGCTGCATGGCTTGCCAGATTCTCTAGTGATTTGGGCTCTACGCTGGACAGATAGGAGATAGAGCTCCTCTCTTGTAGTGACGTATGTTAAGTCACAGGCCTGTGCTGTCTGATCCAGTAGCCGTTAGCCACACGTGACTATCTAAAGTAATTAAATGAAATTCAAAATGCAGTTCCTCAGTCATGCTGGTCACATGGAGCCAGGGACTCCTGTATCAGCCAGGGCAGAGAGTGAGCATTCTCATCATTGCACAAGATTCTGCTGGCCAGTGATGTTCTAGAGCGTTCTGCACAAGGCAGACCTGGCCGCTACAACCATCACCCCGACTCTCTTGTCCGCTAACAGTTCTCTTCCCAGAGTCGGAATGGGGTAAGTCAGAGCTAGGTCCCTTGATTTGCAGTGCTGGGATTTCCTCTCTAAGGCAGGTGTCAGAATGGCGATCACGTGCGTCCCTCACACATTGGAGGGCATATCACGGTCATGAGGCAGAATTCCATAGCCAGGAATCTTCTGAGCCCTGAATCACCCTGCCCACGGGTGTCACCGGCTGTCCCCATTCAGCTTCAGGACTCACCAGGAAAGTGAAATAGAAGACAAGGAAGGAATGGAACAAAAGTTGGTGTGGACCACAGGGCAGTAGGAAAAGAGAAGGGAGGGGTGGGAGGAAGGTGTGGGGGGCCAGGCCCAGCCCCAGGATCTCTAGCTTCTCCTCAGCATCAGGCTCTGGTTGGCTCCAAGAGCTCCAGGAACATCATGCCCTGCCCGGCTGCCCTCATTCTCCAGGCCCACTTCCTGGATATTTCAGCCCCTCCGGGCTTACCCCTGAGCCCTGTGTACTTTTGTTGTTTGAGACTCTTCGAGTGTTGATGTTGCTTCCACCCCTGGGGGGCTGTAGTCGCTTTTGCCCTACTCAGAAAAGAGACTGACCTTCCTCCCTCTGGAAGGCAACTAAAACAAGGCTTTCAAGAAGTAACCGGGAGTAAACATGAGCTCTTCTGTGATGTTCTGCAATCTTCTGTTCTGTCCCTGTAGCTGACAACCCTGCGAGGGGCAATTCTAGAAGACGCCATACCCTCTACCACCAGGCATGGTACCGCACGGGGACTACCTCTCAAAGAAGTTCTGGAGTACGTCATTCCAGAGCTGAGCATTCAGTGCCTGAGACAGGCTTCGAACTCACCCAAGGTCTCGGAGCAGCTGCTCAAGCTGGATGAACAAGGGGTGTGTACAATGAGTGTGGCCCTGTTTGGGTGTGAGTGCGTGTCTGTGTTTCTAAATGTTTTGGATTTTTCCCATCCATCTTTCTTTTGAGATCCTTTATTTTTAATGCCTTGAAGCATTTTCTTCCTCTGGTTGTTCCTAAGAAGCATGATGGCTTTCTAGTGTAATACTCCCCCTGACTTGTATTGTTTTTAACAAGGTTTTGGTGCCTCCCAACTAGCAAGAGCACATCTGATTCGTGATTATTAGAGATCAGTGTTATTTTTTCTAGGGTTTAAACAACTCACATTGGGCCTTTCCCTGAACTCACATTTGTTCTTGTCCACTGTATGTGAGCATTGATGCTAACAGGTGGAAATGGACAGCGTGCACTGGGGAGACTGATGCTAAGAAGCCGTCCCTCGCCCCAGCGGGACAGTGAGACCAAAAGACCTCTGCAAGGCAGAATGTGGCAGGGGATCTTGAGGAAGTGTAAATGCAGTGAGTGCTTTGGGAAACGAAGAAATAACATCTGCTGACACATCTGAAGGAGGCAGCATTGTAACTGGGACTTGGGTAGAATTCCAGGAGGGGGATGGGAGCAGTTGGCTGCTTTAGGAACTGTGACGAGTTTCTTTATAAGACAAGGGCACATCTTAGGAGGTTGTAGTTTAAAGAAAAAAAAAAAGGCATGTTGAAGCTAGAGCATATAGGACCTTGAAAGCTAGGCTAAGGAGTTTGCACCTGATTCAGGAGGCAGTAGGGAACCACTGAAGCTTTTTGGGAGGACGAGACATGATCAGAGCTATATTCTAGAAGGCTTATCCTGCTGCAAGGGAATGAGACAGGCTGGTGAAGATAAAGACTGATGATGGCCTGGAGTTCAATTAAGGACTGTTGACATCATCTAGGAGAGAAGTAATGATGATCGGGTTAGGGACGTGACCCAGCCGATGGAAAGAGGTCTTTTAAGCGTCAGATATGAGATAACTCATAGTGGGAAACTAAGAGATTGGCACCCCAGTGTATGTAACTTATTTCAAATGAGCGAATTTGCTTTTACATGCATGCTTTAAAACCCAAAAAGAAGATCATAGTGATGTATATTTCCAGAATTTTCTAAGGAAAATTCCGTTGCCTGTTTTAAAGAGAATAGGTATTTCCGGTTGACCCAGTAACACCAGTGTGGTAGTTTGATGGCATATTTGATATTCAGATGGCTGGAATTCTAAAAGTGATGAAATAGTAATTTGTCTAAGAAATTAACACTGCGTGATTAGCCAAAGGAAGTGGGCGCTGTAACGTTCAGAGTGAATAAGCCTGAGATCAGTCTGTCTCAAGAAGGAAGGCTGACATATTAAAAACAACAGCTAAACCAAACCAAAACTCTCCCCTAGAGCAGTTGACTTGTAAAACTGTATGACACCCAGGATAGTTGGACCACGACCGTGACTGGTAAAGTGTGTGGAATGTACGAGATGTCCGTGCGGCAGGTAAGGAAAACACGTTACCAGGGAGAGATAGGAAGGATGTGTTGGTGTTGGTCCAGATCCTCCAGGTGCAAGCAGGCTTGATGAGAAGAACAGCACTTATTTTCATATCTTATTGGCCTATTTATTTCCGGTCATGGGAGAATGTGCTCTGTCCCTTTAGGTTGCTAGCGTATGTGGTTCCCCTTTAAGACCTATCACTGTACTTGCTGTTGAGCATGGTGAATGAGGTATCTGGTCCCCTCAAGCTGCTTTAGAAAATCCCACAGATGGCCCCTCATCCACGGGCCTGAATCCCAAAGTCCTCAGGGCCCTGAGAGACATCACGGCAGTTACCATTGACCATCTCCTCACGAAACGAAGCAAGTACTTGGGTGGTCTGTTGAGCAGAACAGGTCCAGAAGCTATGCCAGGCAAATTTTTTTTTTTTTTTAAAGGAAGAGTTTAAGTGCTTTTAAATGAACACCTTTTTATAGTCTGATGTCAAGATTAGCGCTATGAAAATCGGGTTCTGCTTTTAAGCAAACCGATGCTTTAGCTGAATTTTGTGTGGTTTTTCTTTGGCAATTGTATTTGTTTGACTTTGGTATATTTTCCTAATGGTGTACAGTGTGGTCTTGTCACTTACCCATACCTCTTGATGGTGTCTGATTCCCATATTACATGAGGAAGAGATACTGTTTATTTTCATCCTGAAGAGAGAATGGATGGCTTTTTTTAACATCCTACTTTTTAAAGGATCCTTAAAAGTTGCCACTAACCAGGCGCCTGGGTGGCTCAGTCGTTAAGCGTCTGCCTTTGGCTCAGGTCATGGTCCCAGGGTCCTGGGATCAAGCCCCGCATCGGGCTCCCTGCTCCGCGGGGAGTCTGCTTCTCCCTCTCCCACTCCCCCTGCTTGTGTTCCTGCTCTCACTGTCTTCTCTCTGTCAAATAAATAAATAAAATCTTTAAAAAAAAAAAAGTTGCCACTAACCTTTGAGAGTGTTTGAGAGTTTATTCCAGGTAGTGCTCTTTGGATTCACCTTCTTAATAGTAAATCTGCCCAGGAATGGGATGAGCCAGTTTTCCGGTACTGTTCTTAGGGGGTTTTAATCTTGAAAAAATACGGAAAGGATATATTGTCGTGTGCTGCTTCCTTGGGGTCTGTAACTGCCCAGGTTCAGCCCAGTCACTTAATTAAGTGCATCTGCTGTCTTCAGGACATAGGTTTGTAGCGAGAACTTCATTTAGTAGATGTTCGGGTCATGTGCCCCGTTCTTTAAGTTCATGAAGATGTTTTGAGCAGAAAGACTCACCTCGATGGAGAATGACAAGGGAAGTAATTACTAAGTGAGACTCTGAAACTTCTGTTACTTTATCTACATAAATTCACCTCTCAACCTCTCAAATCCCATTTTTCCTATTTTAAAAGACTCTCTTAATTTATATGTCAGATGACTATATACAATTATATAGGTTGACGTAAAAAAGAAAAAATCAGATAAATTACGGCCACGCGCTCTTTGAGAATACCATGGCGTCTTCGGCAGAATGATTAATTTGTTCTCCAGTCAGCTTTCTTCTTGTCTCCCTCACCCTAGATGCATATGTTTTCTTGCACACCAGGCTTGCTTCTGGTGGAGTCACGGGGGTCTAAAGAGATGATCTAAATAAGTAAGACTGTGTGCTTGCCAGAAGCTGACCTAGTCCCGAGGAAGCACTAGAAAGAAGGGCTTCCGGACCCACTCCAGTTTATTTGCAAGGCGTTTCTGAGGCTTTGTTGTTTTTGTCACCTTCGTTTAAATGTAAATTTCCTTGTTAATGAGGACAAGGCTTCTGCCCTGGGGAATGGAGCAAGTCAATGGTCATCCTGTCCCAGGAAGCCAAGGAGACCCTCTTGTGCTGGGTCCTCTGTCTGTGCAGCCTGTCTGTGTGTTCAGCTCTCAGCACTGATGCGGTTTGCAGTTTCGACAAGCAGGTATTTCTGGTTTCTGACAGTACTGATGCCCGAGAGCCTTCCGAGCTCCCCTCCCACGACTGTGGGACTGGCTGTAGCTCAGAACAGTTAAATCAAGGTCAGGGGGAAGGGAGAGGGATTGGGGGCGGCCCCAGGTCTGGAGAAGCTTGGATACAAACCCTGTTCTGAGAGAATTGGGAATTTTAGTGCTTGGGTGCTGGGGTCTCCCCTTTGTTTTGTGCCCCAGTTAACTGCAGGGTGTGCTGCCAGCTTTGTGATGCAGCGCGGGAGGAGTGATGGTTGATATTACATTCCGGTTGCTTTCGTGGTGTTTGTAAGAGATTTAAGTCAGAGAAGTCTCTTCCCAGTGTTTCATTCTGTTACGGCTTTAGCGGAATGGCCACCATCATAGCAAGCAAATCCCAACTGCTTGTTCTAAGATCCTAGAGATAGTTCCATTTCGTGGCCTCCTCACAGCAAACGTGTGTGATACCCATGCCAGGCTGTACGCGTGCTACAGGATATTTTCACTGTACCAGAGCTCTGATGGCTGTTATGAACACTTGGGGGCTTTGAAATCTGTTGGAGCCACATCCCCTAATTTTCATGGGCCCAGGGGACTCTGGGAGGGAACGCAGATCCTGTTCACAGTCAGGGCCCAGACTCTGGCTGGTTTGTCTGATGGCTGGGAAGAAGGGTGTGAAGTGGACAGCACCGTAGCCAGCAGAGCAGGCCCGGGGGAGTCCAGTTCTCTCTGGGTGTTTGACCTTTGCCTGAATGAGAGTCCAGAAGACTCAGGAATCACATGGAGAAATTGTGCCGGTCTGGTGAGCACTCTGCTTGACGGGCATGAGGCCACACTAGCCCAAACCGTGGGGCCCCGTACAGCTTTGCTACGGGCCTCCTCCCGTGGCGGCGGATGTGAGAAGAGAAAGGGGTTTCCCCCTGGAGATGCCAGGGCGGACTGGGACAGGCTGCAGGAGCGGCCAGGGAGCGTTGGAGGACCCGGTGGCCCAAGACGAGGTGGCCAGATGGTGTTGACGTGTGGTACTGGCAGAGCAGTGCCTGTTGTGAGCAGCAGGTGGCGGAGCAGAGGACAAACGGGATTGAGCTCCAAGGATGCGGATGACAGCGTGGCAGTCCGTGGGTGCAGGGGAGGCAGCGGGTGCCAGGATCCACGGGCATTCGGGCCCGTGGGACCTTGGGGTTACACGTGCTAGCGCTGCTTAGCGCATCTCCGGTGGACTCTCATTAAGGCTAGGGCCCAATAACGGGAGAGAGTTGAAATCTTCTTCTAATGGCCAAACAGTCGCCAAGCTACCATGATATCTAGGATGGGAAGGCCTCGTTAGAGGTTGCGTATGGATCCCGACAGTCACTGAGATCGCTGACATCTGTGGTGATAATTGCTAGTCCTGTGTTTCCCGAGTGGCTCTAGCATCCTGAAATGTCTTCTGAGTCACTCAGGAACAGTAAGTGTTTATAATGAAGTAATAGAAGGCATTTTTATTACGCTTCATATTTTTTCTAGTTGATGGCCTATTTGCAGAAAATACAGTATCTCATTTTTTTGGAGAGTTGAGTTGATCAGAAACATTTATTCCTCAGTCTCTGGATGAATGAAAATGTTTTCTCTACTTGACCCTCCTAAAGAACTAGCTCAATAAAATTCGTCATACTAGCTATTAAGTAGCTTGCGCACAGCATCTATCCCAACACTGAGAGCACGGATCATTGTCTTCACTGTGCGGTTGAGGGTCTTAGGCGCTGACAGGAGCCCAGGCCTGTGGGCTGTCCACCATGCCATGGGGGCCATCGCCATAGTTAGCTCATTCAGTCAGATCGTGAGCGGACCATGCTTTCTTTTATATCCTCCCCCAACCCCCCGCCCCCCGTAGCACTTAGTCTCAGTCACCTACATTCGGAATGTAGTGGTGGTTGACTCTCTGTTCAACTCTAAAGGTATCCCAGTGTGCAATGAGGTGCTTCCTACCATCTGCCTAGATCACCCCGGCAGGTGGCTTCCTACCTTTCTTGGATTGTATGTTGTCACTGGGTAACGTGTTTTTATCATTCTGCCGCTCAAGGGACATGAATATCGTTTTGCCTTATTTTACTGGTAGTCAACTATGAATTTTGATTAAAGGCTCGATTTTATGGCTTGATAATGGAAGCTAACGGTGTTATGGGCAGATGCCTTTAGGAAATCGGTGATGTCTGATAATCTTGTCGGGTTTTGAGGCTCAGATTGCTTGGTAGTAGATTGAATGCTCTGATTTCATGAGTGAGAAGTAGTTTCTCTTCGGATACAGTAAGAAAGCTGTGCAACTGGATCCGGTGTCTCTCCGGCCTTGGGAGGAAGCAGTCCTGTGGCTTCCAGCGTGATAAGAGATTAATTGTGAGTTAGAATTACAGCAGGAACTCTTCAGCGGTTCTTAAAATTCTTTATGGTCTGTTGTATATTTAGCAGATGGTTTCTTTGCAAGATTGTCAAAAATACAGAGATGAGGGCGCCTGGGTGGCTCAGTCGTTAAGCGTCTGCCTTCGGCTCAGGTCATGGTCCCGGGGTCCTGGGATCGAGTCCCACATCGGGCTCCCTCCTTGGCGGGAAGCCTGCTTCTCCCTCTCCCACTCCCCCTGCTTGTGTTCCTGCTCTCGCTGTGTCTCTGTCGAATAAATAAATAAAATCTTAAAAAAAAATACAGAGATGACTGTAATTTTATAGTCCCAAGTTACTTTCATGGACACAAAACATTGTTCTATTTATATACATATATTACAGTTCCCACTGGGATTCCTTCCTTACCGGACCTTCATTTGATTTGTTCGTTCATTAACGGTTTTTCATGTTTTCATGAATGTTCAAAGAACAACAACAACAAAAGCGTCAGGAACCAGAGAGGAGAAAAAACTTGTAAGTTGGTGGCTTTGTTTTTCCTTCTGACTTGGAAGATGATGCTCCTTACTGCACGGAGGGTGTAAGATTAGGTACTTCCACGGTTGTATTTTTAAGCAGATACCTGAGGCTGTCTGCCCATCCTGGAAGCCCAGTCGATCCCACACGGCTATGGCCATCCATTCTCTTTCGTAGGGTTTCTGCCATTTCTCCAGCCGTATTTGGGGGTTTCTGAGTTTGTTAGATATCTGTAGTGTTTCGTGCAATGACAATTGCTTCCTCTTTTGCTTATTTGCTTATGGGAATTGTCCTGGCATGCTTACTGTTTTCATTTTACTGGAAGTTAGCTTGTCTGATACTCTTTGCCAAGTAATTCTCTTTCTCCCCCATTTCAGCTGAGCTTTCAGCACAAGATCGGGATCCTTTATTGCAAAGCAGGCCAGAGCACCGAGGAGGAGATGTATAACAATGAGACAGCGGGACCAGCTTTTGAAGAATTCCTTGATCTTCTGGGCCAGCGAGTCCGGCTGAAAGGATTTACCAAATACCGAGCTCAGCTAGACAATAAAAGTAAGCTTCCTATTTGTGTGTGCGCCCAAATTTAGTTCTCCTAAGGTAGGCACACTGCATAAATCTAAGTGAGCCATCATGTGCCCTCCCGTTCTTGACCCCGACAGCAGCCTAGCCAAGCTTATTTGGGATAGGGTTGAGATTTCCTCAGATGAGCAAAGGAAGCACATTTCTCAAGAGATTTGTGTTTCGCGGAAGCTCAAAAGGTCAATTCCTTTTCTGTAACACCAGCAGAGAGATTCCCCGGTGTTTCGTGAAGAATCTTCTAATATTTCCTTCTGTCTTTTAGCCTCACCTCTTCTCTCATACCCTTGTTCCGATATACCAAGGACAAGCGCTGCATTCTTTTCTAAAAGGCAAAATATTAGCACATTCGCTCACACCATGTTCTCTGGCTCATTCTGTTCATCTCTGGTTTCACGGTGTTAACTGGGGAATTGAAGCAGTGGTTAAAAGCTGATGCATCCTGTTTTCCAGTGACCTTACTCAGGTCCCCTTGAGCGGGGCACACACTAGCTCTAAGGTGCCAATTTAAAACACAGACTCAGCACCATCCCATGATGTGCAGATTTCTGTTGTACCTTCATCTGGAGAATCCCATTCCTTCTGGTCCTCATAAATTCTGAATATTTTATCTTTGTCTTTGTGCTGTTAGATTTCATGGCTCTCAGCATCTAAAATATTCCAGGCAGAGTAATTTTGTGCATTTTGGGAAATTCTCGTTATTATCAAGCAATTAACTGCTTACTCTTTTAATCAAAGGGGAGCAGATAGATACTACAGTTGGAGGAAGTGGGAAGGCACGTAGCCCACTCCTAGTAGGAGTGGTGAAGTGGGAACTTTTTCCCCATGGGAATGTCTGTGTGAGGCCGTCTGAGGTCCCGTGGCTCCATGCCCCCAGTGTCCTTCAACTTGGGACCCTCATCGATAACTTGCCTACATCAGGGTGGGGCCAGGTCTTTGTGTGCCTGTCAATCAGATCTGGTTTTTTCAATGTGTTTTTGGAAGTTACGTGTAGAACATAGCTTATCAAATCTGGAGACACTGTTACCTCATAGTTGGGCCCCTGTGTGTCCTACACACATGCCAAGGTTGGATGTTGACTATTACCTCAGATGCATATTGCTCTTGCCTCAGATCTGTAAAGATTAGGGAATAATTTGTGACACCAACTCTGAGTCTCCACATATGAGACCTTTTCTGATTTTTCTTCCTTTTTCTTGGCAAACTCCCCTGGAGTTATAGACCCCAGGCTGTGCACAGCCTCTCTTGGGTCTGCACGCAGAGGTGACAAAACTGGGGACTTCCATGATGGCCTATATCTCTTTTCCGATAGAAATATTTGCAGCAGACCCTTGAGCAAGTTGGTCAGTTCACCTTTTCAATTACCATACTGACATTTGAGATGAAAACTTTCAGAATATTTAATTTCAGAAATCCATCTTGTAGTACTATTTGGGATAGACAAATTATGATCGCATTTTTTAAAGTGTTTTCTCCCCACAGGGGCGCCTTGGTGACTCAGTTGGTTAAGTGTCTGCCTTCAGCTCAGGTCATGATCTCAGGGTCCTGGGATGGCGCCCCGCATCGGGCTCCTTGCTCATCGGGGAGTCTACTTCTCCATCTCCCTCTGCCGCTCCCTCTGCTTGTGTGCTGTCCATCTCCGTCTCAAATAAATAAATAAAATCTTTAGGAAAAAGTGTTTTCCCCCACAAAACGCATCTTTCTTCTTTCATCGCAATTTCCTGAAACTGAAAGCTATTGACTCGACTATTAGCTATCTCTATAAGGACTTCTCTCCCTGAATTCTAACCATCCAAATAGCAGGGTGTTATGATGAGAATTGTTGAATGTTCTGGGTTATTTCAGCCCCTGACCTTCATGTTGTTATTAACGAGTCAGTTCTTCAGGGAAGAAGACGATCATCATTCCCTTATGACCATGCTTGCTCACTTTCAAAGCCACGCTCTCTGTCTTCAGCCAAGACAGTTGAAATGGAATATTACTTTCCAAGAAGTCCTTCAAAAAATAACAAATATGTACTTAATATATAGTTAAAAGAGATAATTGCTTTGTTTGGGGACTGGTTAATATACAGCTTATTGGATGAATATCCTCTCTTACC